ACATCGTTTCCTTGTTCTTGCGCGAATTCGCGATTCATTATCAACAGTGTTGTTTATCAGCTTGTTTCAGCTGGGACTTTTCCGAGGTGGCGAGGTCACGCACCGTGAGCCTGGGTCGTAGACAGTCGACTGAACAAGGAAAATTATAGACATATAGATTTAGAGTGACTGGATATTTTTCCCTTGCATCCACCGCCGATCCTTGTAGCACACATCGGACGTGTTGGAAGAGCATCAGGGTTTTCAGCGCCAAGGACTGTTGTGGAATTCAGTGCGTTCAAACGTTTGCTGGTGGCAGCGCAACGTGACGAGGACATTCCAGAACTCTCCTCCTTTCACATCCAGCCCCGATTAATTATTGAGTCCAGACTGATCCCACACGTAAGTCAAATGCATGCAAAACGTTTGGGTAATCGAGACGTCCATCAAGAAACCTGCCGAGAAAGGCTTGTGGGCCGGCCATGTCATCTTGATCGCTTAGTGTTTCCTAGCCCGGAGAGCTCTTGACCAACTTGTATCCTGAAGTCGCAGAGGGTCCTCGCAATCTTTTCGTCGAGTACAGGGTTTGGGTTTTGGGGTGCCCACGCAACTCTGCACAGAATCGAACATGATTGCTGCACAGTGCGGAAAAATTGCACACACGCACAAACACTCACCCGTGAAGAAAGTCTGCACAAGGAACGCTGCGGAAGTTATTGCAGATGTTTGTTTAGGTAGCTATACTTATAATTCCTTATAACCCCAAATAAGGTACTTGTAGCCTTACATTACTTACTAAGTCCCATGATCCTCCGATGGCGCATAAGATGCGACCTGCTTCACCTAGGACCTATATATACCCTAAGGCCCCAAAGTATTTCCTTTTTGGGGTTCGTATATAGAATCCTATAAGGTAATCCCAAAAAGGGGCTACTTCGGGGCCTTTGGGTAGGCTGCACCGGCGTGATCTTAAGCACAGCAGCTGCAACTTTGTCGCCTCGGAACTTGCAGATACCCGCGCAAGGGGCGCAAACACGAATACCAGAATCGGCTATCCCAGGCAAAGCTTTGCCTGAAATCTGTGCGGGTTCTGACACTCGGAATTCTTTTCAGACGGCTCTTTTCAGACGACATGTCACGATATGTTGGCCATGGACAGATTTCGCGGAATTTACCGGCCCTGTCTTCAGGGCCTGCTGTTGGGCACCTAATCAATCCTAATCATACGTAGGGGGCAGTGCAACATAGTGCGGTATGTCTTCAGAGCTCAGGCTGCTGAGATTCTGTTACATATATTATGTGTAAACCAGAAGTATGCGTATACATACTTATATATACATATGTGTGTATACATACATACACATAGTGTATACATGTGTATATATATATATATATACGTATGCGTATACCTATACGTATACGTATATGTATATGTATATGTAAATATGTTTTGTAAATGTATATGGGAGCTTCTTGACGTTGATTGCCGAAAGCCAGTCTCGCATTCAGAGGGGTGAGCCTTTTCACTTGCAGCACCCGTAGTAGGAAACCTGAAACCCAAACCCCACAAGAGGTTTTGGGTCTCGAGATCTCAGGCGTTGCCAGTCCAGGGGTTGAAAATGAGATGGGTAGGGCCTTCGAAACTGCTGAGTATTGCGGGGCTTACGATCAAGCAATTTCCACCACCATTCCCTAGGGGCTCCTTGTCCTAACTTACCAGAGCCTACCGCAAAACTCTCCTCCAATCATTGATACCTCTGTAATATGGAGATGGCGTTGAACATGGATGGCTCTTGGATCAGAGCGGCCCTTGTAATTAAAGCACTTCGGGCATATATGGACACTAGCGTAGAGGTGAGGGTTCGCTCAGTTCTCTTTCAATACTGCTGGCTCTGGTGATGATCGAACTTCAGCCCTAAACCCTAAACCCTAAACATCCCTAAACCCTAAACTTTAAACCCTAAACCCTAACTCCAGGTCCCCAAATCCTAGGCCCGAAGCCTTCGTCCAAGGCCATTTTAAAAAAAACATCTTCCTACCCGGCCTGCCAGCGCTACTCCTCCGGGCTGCATGATTTTGCCAAAGGGTCTAGGGTATAGGGGTTCAGGGTGGAGGGCTGGGGGTTCCGGGGTTTAGGGACTCACGGGTTCAATTTGGTGTTTCGGGTTTAAGGTTCAGGGTTTTGAAGGCCTGTGTTTTGTCATGGCAGGATACATCTCCTGTTTATAACCCATCTTAGCATGATTATGGTAAGAACTGTGAAATGTGTTTACACATGCATAGACATGTTCGTATATATATATATATATATATATCTATAATATGTATACTATACGTATTCCTACATACGTGTGCGCATGTGTTTGTACGTACACATGTGTACTGTGTACGTGTATATATATATATATATATATATTTATTTATTTATATTCACATTTACATTTATATGACATGTTGCTTAAGATGGAGAGATTACGTTTATTGCCATGACTTGATGGAGGCAGACGAATCACAGCATTCATGGGGCGTCCCGGCCGCGGCATAGCACTTTCTAAATCGGCAAGACCCACAACTTAGAGCCTGAATCATTTATGAAACGCCCTTGTAGGGGTCGCATGCTGGTTTGCGAGGTCTGATTCGGAGCACGAATGATCCGGTTGCCGTTGTCGGCCTTGGCTCGTCTTAGGCTTTTTTGGCTTCCAGCGTGTCAGGCTCAATTTAGGGTTTCGGGGGCTTGAGCTTTCGAGGGTTTAGTGCTTTAAGGTTTGCATGAGTGATCCAGGTTGTAGCACGTGCATCGGAAGGCGAGCGCGGCAGAGGTCAGCGGTTCAAATGCGTGCAGATGTTCTTGACGACTTGTGACACTCAAGCATGTGCATGGGGAGGCGGCTAATATTCTCGGTCTCGCTGGAAGTATTTGGTAATAGCTTGGAGCGTCCTGCACGAACAACTGCATGCGGAATTTTGCCACATCCCTCGAAAGTAGCTCGTGCCTAAGGCATGTACTACTTGCCCAGTTATATGTTGCTCGCGAGATGACCTCCTTTGCAATTAGTCAACAGGAGATACTTAGTTTTTCTAGGGCTACTTGCTACAAAGCTGACCCCTACTGCACAGTAGTACCCCTTAGGTTTGCTGTGTTCCACGATGATCGGAAAAGGCAACTCACTTCAGGTCTGGTGAAGAGAAGCTGAGCAGTTGTTTACAGATCGGCACAAATCTGGACCCCACAGAGTAGATGCATCCACGCAGAATCTTCATGATTGAAGTGTTCTTGCAACTCGCCGGCCGCATCAACTGAGCTAGGGGGTCTGTTCCAGTGGCTGTCTGAATCCTTGGCATCTGCATGTGTACGTCTTCATCAACGTATGCGACATGGCATGGACATGTGCATGCATGCACGGACAAGATCAAACACATATGTGAGTGTTTGCGTGTGTATGTTTTAGTCTATTCACATACATATGTTTTCAATAACGTGTATATATATATATAGATATGTATCTATATATATATATATACACATGTATAGGAGAGGGAAAGAAAATAGAGAGAGCGAGAGAGAGTCATTTTCGTTGCGGGTGTGTTGGGTTTGCTTTGACTGTGGCAGTTTGATAGCCTTCTTCTTTGCATTGGCTTTCATCAGAGTGAACAGAACGTATTCATCCTGGCATCTTGGGTGTGTTTTGAGGTCGACACTTCCGTGGCGCCTTGTTGCTGAACTGTCATGATGCTAGGCGTTGCTTTGGCGAGTTTCTTTCGGTGTGAGCTATCCGCTGCAAATCGTTCGCATAAGTTTACGGCGACTTCACCATCTGCTGGTTAGGACTCAGTAAACGTAATCATAAGCGAGACGTTGGACGGTTTAAGCAACTACTGTTCATCCTCGGCTGGGCGGCTAGCTCGAGCTGCTGCAAAAGTATGTGGGGCATCGGTGCAAGTGCAAGCAAGTGCCAGAGAACGAGCAGGCGAGGGAACGAGATATTCATACACTTGTGCGGGCATATATGCGCGATGTACATGCGTAATGTGGCTTGCCTTCTTGTTCTTTTTGTGTGCCATCCCTGTGCATGCTTTTGGATAGCCAGATTGTTGTGTGTGTGTTTGTGTGCGCGTGGGTTTCTGTACGGGCAATTTCGCACACGCTGTTGCGCTGCTTGACATCTACCTCCTGGACTAACTCCTCGGTGGCAGCGGGCCCTCTTGTGAGGGAGCGAAAGATGTCTAGTTATCACTGCGGTGACAATGTGAAGAAGCAAGAACAAAAGCAAGAATCAAGCAAAGAGGTCAAAGATGACCCTGTCAAGAAACAACTTCAAGATCCCAAGGAGGACGATGGAGAGGCCTCTGCGCCCTACACACAAGATGCTAAGATAGCTCAGAGCTACCAACAGGCCCTCGGGCTGACTGAATTCAGATTGCAAAGAAAGATGCACACTAAAAGAGTGATTAATACTCCTAGTTTTAGCTTTTCCCATACCTCGGGTTGGTTGGGTAAGCCTCTCTACTGGTTTATCTTAGTGGTGAACCTGTCGTGCGGAGTGGGATATCCACTTCGTGCAAACAGCTCTTGCGCCTTGGATGCACTAAACCACTGCCCTTCGGGCTTCCCTTTGCTCCCTGCCACGTCTTGCCATGGCTGGGAAGCGAAGTCGAGTGCGGCGCTGGCGAGCAGCTTTTGTCCCTGGGAACGTTTTCAACATGTTGTGGGCTTACCCAACTTCATTAATAAAACTCCTCAGCCGGACCCCTGTTCCTGTTCCTTACCTGTGGGCTTACCCATAGGGTTTTCGAAGAAGGTGCCGTCGGCCTTCGGACGGTTTCTTTCAGACCAAGCTTGCTTCACTTGCGTAAGTCATGGGAGGTCATGTTTTGGTCTTTCTTTTGTAAAGCTTCTTGCTGAGCTGGGCCTTGCCTTAGCTTTGGTTGGTGGCAAGAGGGCCGTGCGCAGTCGGACCTCAAGTTTGGTGCATAAGAGCCGGGGTAAGCGTCGTCCTCAGAGGTCGAGGCTTCGGCTCCGTATGCGCTTCAGACAGTACAAGAAAACTGTTGCGAGAAGAAAAGAACGAGCTGCTACACAGCGGAGCGCTCCGCTTAGCAGACGCGTCATCCTTAGCTGCAGATTTGTCGCTGGTGTTCGCCTTAGAGGTGCCAGGCTCAGATGTAGAATTAGGACTCGTCTTTTGCAACTTGAACGTTTGAAGTGGAAGCTTCAGGGCCGCACAGGTGGCTCGGGCCGTAAGCTGGGCTGTGAGCAGGCCCCTGAAGCACTCGACGCTGAGACACAGCTTGCGCCTTGGCCTCCTTCCGTGGTCCCGACCTCTGAGTGCAAGTGGTACACCAGGGTTTGGGAGGCCGTCTGGGTGTGGTACTCCGCGTTGTTCTTCGACCCGTTTTGTGGCACGCGAGTAGGAGAGGCCTCGCACCCAGGCCCTGGAGGTTTGGCTGCGGCCAGGAGAAAGAAAACGCAACTTAAGGACACGGGCCTCAACCAGAAAGCACTGGAAGCCATCGTTCAATCGGTGCTTCTCGTGCTTGATAAACGTCAGGCTGCCAGTGACGCTGCTTGGTGGCCTCAACAGCCCCGCCGCGGGGTACGACAGTGGCAGAGTGCTCAGGCAGCACATAGCTACTGGGGCGAGTGGTCTGAAGACAGCCAAGACAGCGACTACAACTGGAAGTGGTGGGAACCAGCTTGCATCACTTCTTCCTCTTGGCAGGGTCAAGACCCTGAAACGGGATGGTGGGATCCCGAAGCTTGGACCTCTTGGTGGGCTGATCCCCACTACCAAGGTGTGAGCTACACGGACGAGGGTCTCTACGCCTCAGGTGACCAGGCCGATGAACCGGCCACTTGGGCGTCCGCTCCCGTTTCTCAGCCTCCTCGGAGGCAGACTGGCTCCTGTGCGGGCCCTCCACCCAAGGAGGCTTCCGAAGGAGGGCCTAATAAGAAGCGCAAAGTTGACCCCCAACAGTTCCCTGAGCTCCCCAAGGTCAACGCTCCTTCGAAGAGTAGCAAGTATGCTCTCCGCATCGAACCTTCCGAATGGAACTCTGAAATCGTGCTGACTACGGTCCCTCAGATTCAAAAGGCCTTGGAAGAAGGAGCGGAACTCCCTGGTAACCTCGTTGTCAGTCGCAGTTCCACCTGCCTCGAAAGCCTTCTCAACCTTGTTGGTGCTTTCGAAATCAGTGAATCCCTCTCTTTTGCTGAAGTGACTCAGGCACAGGGCTCCGGGCCCTCTGTGGCAGTCTGGTTTAGGCCCTTTAAGGACTCCCCGAAGCCTGAAAGGGTTCAAGTCCGGGTCCGCCAACTCACGGCGACTCCGGGCCCCGAGCCCAAACCGCCTTTGACAGTTGCTATCAAGGTCAAACCAAAAGTCGAGATGACTACTCTGCGACTGCTTGCGCCGAGACAGTACAGACAGATCTTCCTTGGCTCTTCCACTCAGGACACACCGGTTACCGTTATCTCAGCTTGGGCTAGCATGCTGGGATGCAAGGTCAATGAACTGACGGGAGGCACATGGGAGACGTTGCATCTTCCCAGAGGCTCATGCCTCTCAGGTCACGTGAGGGTTCCGCTGGCTCTGGGTCGCAAAGCCGCTTCGCTCAGTGGAAAGAGGGGCCTCTTTTCGACTCTCGTCTCGAAAGGTGAGACGAAAAGCCCGGTCGCCTGGATGCCGCTTGATCAGGACGTCGATGATGAGCAATACTTTCGGGTTGCTAGTGCCTCTGCTGAGGCGCAGGGATGTCCTCTCGTTTTGCGCCAGTCCAAACGTGCTGATCTTGGAGTGGTCGGAGGGCAATGCTTCCAAGGTCCCAGGCCGAGACACTACATTCTCCACGGTGCGGCTCGTGCTTGGTCGCAGGAGGACGTTGCCGAATTCTTCGAATCGGCCAACTGGACTGAAGTTGAGGTTCTTGCTCGTAGACGTAGCTGGTCAAAAAACAATACTCCCGAGTGGGTTGTCAAGGCCCTGCCTCCTGAAGGTTCCCAAGGCCCCTCGTGGTCGTACTCCGATGTCGACTCATACCTCACTATTGCTGAGGAGCCTCACCGTAAAAAGAAGCCTGTTGAGAGCGTCAAGGTCCAACCTCCCAAAAAGAAGTGGATTGACCGGCCCCCCAATAGGTCTGCTAGCATTCAACCTACGCAAATCGACCTTTCGGATGACGACGAGGAAAGCGCTTCCGAGACCTTGCGAGCTACTGGGGCTACTACGGCTAAAGCTGAGACGAGAGCTAGATCCAGATCGCCCAAGAAAGAAAAGAGTAAACCTGCCAAGCATGTTGCTGCTGCCAGGAAGTTCACACCCGATGAGACACTCCTTCAGGACCTGGGGCCGTGGCTTCTGCAGGAAGCGGGCGGAACTGGTGACTGCGGCTACCGTGCCACAGCCACTGCACTGCAAGTCAACCAAGGCAAACCGGCTTTAACTGATGAAGATCTCAAGCTTCAAGCTTCAACACTGCGGCTCCTTGCCGTCACACACATGAGTAAGCATAAAAAGAAGTTTGAGGAGAGCTTTTCCCCGGACCCTGACGAATGCCCTGATGTGTGGGGTGGTCACGAGGCTCCAGGTGATTTCGACTCCTACTTAAAACTCGCGCCCAAGCGCGAAGTGTGGATTGATGAGCTTCAGTTGAGATCTCTTGCCGAAAGACTGGGCTCACCTATAGTCGTATGGGCCTTCAATAGCAGCTGCGGCACTTGGTTGAGGTCAGTGTATGCGCCCTTCTGGGCTAATGACACTGCTCAGGCTGCCAAAAAGCAGCGACCCATCGTACTCGCCCTCAGGGATCGTCATTACCGTGCCTTGGTTCCGGCAGATCCAGCTGTCGCTGTGCCGGAGTCTTGGCTGTGGCGCACTGAGTACACGGGTACTGACAAGCTTAGAGGGGCTGGCGCTCTCTCTGAGGCTTTGTCAGTCTCCGCAAGCACCCCACGTCGTGCTCTTTCCCTCCCTGGCAGCACCCCCAAGCGTTGCCAGCCCTCGTCTCTTCCTTCGGCTTCTCCCTCCTGCCCTGGGGGTTCAGGCTCTTTTTTCTCGCAGGGCTCTTCTCGAGGCCTGGTTTTGGGCCCCAAACCTGGGTGTTTCTCTTCCGAGGATCCCGTGCCTCTTCCTAAGGGCGCTTCCGGCTGTAGTTCTGGTTCTGCGCGGGCTGTCTTTCAGGGTCAGAAACGCAAGGCTGCTCTTTCGCTCCCTTGTTCTACTCCTATAAAGGCCCCAAGCTTGGAGCACACTGGTGAAGACAAGAACCGGGCCAACCTTAGTGCTCTTCTTGGCCCTAATGGTCCTCCTAAACGTCTTAGGATCATCGGGAAATGCAAAGGCTTCAGATGTCTTGGCAGTGCTTGTCGTCCTTCTACGGGCCCCTCTGCCTCTTGTCACAGTGACATCGCTAACCTTAATGAACTTGAGGAAGGTGAGTCTCCCGAGTCCGACTCCCGTTTGCCCACTGCTCCGTGTACCTCGTCGGGGCCTGGAACTAGACCTATTGGTAGTGACAACCCTCCGTGGACGTGTCCTAGCTGCGACATCGTTTTGCGGGCTCCTTGTCGCGCCAAACTTAGGGAGATTGTTTGGAATCACTGGTGCGTCAAGCATGTGGGTGAAAAGATGCCTCCTAACTGCTTGTTTCGTCAAAAGCCTGAACCCGTAGTTGCCTCTGCCAATATCCCTCAGGACCAGCGAGACTGGGAATGCCCGATCTGCCGAGTTGGGCTCCCCAAACTTGATCGCAATGTCAAGACTGCGAGCATCGAACTTCATAGAAGCTCGGTTCATCCCCGCATGTCTCGCAAACGGATGTATGCCAAACGTTGGCATAATTGGAAGGAGGTGCAATACCTCAAAGAAGGACGGAGCAAGATCTCTGACAAACTCAAAGCTGCGTGCGATCGTAGTTCTTCCACCAAGGAGTTTGGGGGACATGATGTCCGCAGATTGGATGCTCCTGATCTCAGATCTGGTCGTGGCAGGTACTTGACTTGCTCCAAGTGCAGGCTTCGGGGCCATGCCATTACCACGTTCACCCGGGTTAAGTGTCTCGGAAAGCCGGTTCCTGTTACTGGGTCTAGCCGCACGTGGTGGGCCAAGCACAGGTCTTGTGATGTGAAGTCACTCCTCGCCGCCTGGAAAGTTTCGTTTGAGCAGGCAGACAGCTATTTTGGTTATGTTGACTGCGAGGGCCGCTTGCCCAATGCACCGATCTTGTCTAAGGAGCAGGCTAAGGGGCACGTCCTCTGCTACGTCGATCTCGGGGAGCATGCTGAATCCTCTAAATCCACTAAGGTCCTCAGCTGCCTTCGGTGTCGCTTCATCCGGCATAACCTCAGCAGGCTCATCGAGTGCAGAGGACCTTCTGAGGCCCCTCACCCCCTGCAGTGCCGTTTCTGGCACGAAAGGACCTCGCCTGTCAAGAAAATCATGTGCAGGGCCTGGAACTGCACTGTTCGAGATGCTAATCGGTTTTTCAAGGCCCCTAAACCTGACACCAAGGCTCAGAGCACCGCTAGCCTGCGCTCTTGCAGGATTGGTGAGGCCAGTAACCCTGGTCCTTCGTCCGCTGGCCTAGGGAAAGTCTCTAATTTCTCTCGGACTCGTCCAGTGTTTGCTCCTAAGGGCCGCGCTGGGTCTCTTAAGGTTTGTCGCGTCACCCAGACTGTTACCAAGGCTCAGCTTACCGCTGCCTACAACGGGGTTCGATTTGAGGCCTCCCACCCAGGACCCACTCAGGCTTCACCCTCTGGTCAGGGTGAGAACGTCGTCGTCACTGAGGAGCCAATCCGACCCTTGTCTGCAAAAGTGGTCTCGTGCAACGTAGGGGGCACTTCTGGTGCCTACGCAGCTGTCAAAGAGTGGCTTTCTACTGACGTTCACGACGTTGTTCTGCTGCAGGAGCTTTGCATGTCTGATGCGCAATGGAGTACTTTTCAGCGTAAGGCACAACGTTGGGGTTTCCAAGCTTACTACCAGAAAGGGGGCGCCAGTCGTGATGGGTGGGGCAACCCCACTGTCCGTGGTGGCGTTGCCGTGTTCGCGTCTAAGCGCCTGTCTCAGCGGCTGGTGTTCAGCGATGCTCGCCAGCACTCTCAGCTCTTGATTGTCGCCGTCGGTGGGGTCCACTTCGGGAGCATGTACGCCCCCCCAGGGTACGAAGGCTTGCCTCAAGACGAGCTCTGCGAGCTTCTCACTCTCTACAATAGGACTGATCTTGCGGCCGCGGCTCAAAGGTGGGTCATCGGTGGTGATCTTAACGAAGAGTTTTCTGATTCCGCGATCATTGATCACGCCGGGCTTTTTGGGGGTCAGGCCCTTAGGCTCGGCCGTTCCACTCGTTGGGATAGCAATCGTGAAATCGATTTTTTCCTCGTCAATCGGCCTGCCGAGGTTCAAGCTTTGCGTGCGGGTCAAATTCGTGTTTCTGACCACGTGTCGTTGCACACCAGCATCCAGTTGCGGTGTCGCGAGTCTCGCAGAGGCATGCTTCGCACTACGCCTGACTTCTCCAAACCTTCTGGGGTCACTGCCAAACGGTGGAGACAGCTTCTTGATGAGGCCTGGCAGGCCAATCCTGAGGTCCCCAGCTTCCTCTCTAGTCTTTCGGGGCCTGTCCACCCTGATGAAGAGTGGTGGTCCTTTCAGGGCCTTTTGCAGGCTGCTTTTCTCGAGGCCCTGCGAAGGGCTAAGCAGGAGGCTACTGCTGACAGCGCAAATGACCTTGACCTGCGACTGCGAACCGCTAAGGGCCACAAAGGGCGGCCTGGCCAGCACCTGTGGCTGCAATGGTCAAGCCGTGGCCCTGAGCTTGACACAGCCTCCTTTCAGCTTCGAAAGAAGCGCAAAGCTCTCGCTAGAGCCTGTGAGCTCTCCAGGCTTCGTCGGTCTGGCTTGCCTCAGGAGGACCCTCAGGTCGTTAAGCTGCTTCGTCGTTTACCCATTCAGAAAGCTGACTTGGGCACCTTGGAGCTGTTCATACGTAATACTTCTAGTGAGGTTCAGAAGCAAACGCTTGAAGAGAAACGAGCTGCTATCTCTCGCTGGAAACGCAACATGATCGAGGACCCCAAGGCCCTTGGCAAGTGGCTTCGTTCTAAAGAGGACCCTGCCCCTGCTTGTCTTGTCAACGAACGCGAAGTCGTTGCTGAGTCGTTGGAACAAGGGGCCACGTTTGTCCGAACTTACTGGGAGAGTTTCTGGCAAAAGCACTCCGCTCACAAGCCTTCTGAGGACGAAGTGTATGCTGTGCTCCGTCAGGGCCTGCCCCAGTGTAGACCTGTCGACATACCTCCCCCCTCCGCTCAGGAGTTGCTCAGGCATGCTCGGGCCCAAAAAGGCTCTTGCGGGCCCGATGGTTGGACTGGTTCCGAACTTGCTCACTTGAGCATTCACATGCTTGATGCCTTTCGCAGGGTTGCTATGAGGTGGCATCAGGCCTCTAAGATCCCTGAGGCTTTGCATCACATCAGAATGGTTAGTCTCCCTAAACCTGGTAAAGCTTTCGAAGGGAAGCTCAAGGTTTCTGACACTCGTCCCATTAGTGTTCTCAACACCTTCTGGAGATTGTGGATCACTACTTGGACGAAATCTGATGGCATGAAAACTTGGGTTTCACTGAACCTCCCGCCTGAGATCCGCGCTAGGGCCGGCCAAGCTGTTCCCGCGGTTGCTTCTTCCATCCTCGAAGAGTTTCATACTCAAGGGCTTCTTTTGAGTTTGGATTGGTCCAAATGTTTTGATACGCTGTCCCCTGTTGCTACCACACGTATCATGCAGGACTTCGGCCTTCCCAAGGGGTTGGCAGACATATGCTGTGACCTTTGGACGCATCAGGTTCGCTGGATCTCGTGGTCTGGCACCTGTTGTGAGCAGCCGCTACACACTAAGGTTGGAGTCCCCCAGGGCGACCCGCTTGGACCTCTCGTCACTGCCCTTTGGGCCACTTGTGGGTCTAACCTCGTCAAACAACGGCTCCCTGAGCATGTCCGTGGCGATGCTAAAACCTCTGTCTTTGTCGACGACCGTACTGTTGTTGCTTCCAAGCCCGAAACCATAGTCGCCTCCAAGAGAGAATGGTTCCGTTGGAGTAGCCAAGTTGGTCTTGTTGAAAACGAAAGGAAAGTAGTTGTCGCGGCCGCCACTGCGGCAAAAACCAGGGTTGCCGAAGACTTCGGCCTTGCTGAGTTCGTCAAGCCTTACGCTAAGGTGCTGGGGGTCTGCACGGCCGCTAAGAGCAGAACCTCTACTGAGGAAGAAAAGGAGCGCCTGGGCAAGACCTTGCGCACGCTGCGCTTGCTGGCTACTGCTCAGCTGCCTTTTAGGCAGTACCACGCTGCCGTTGCCACCTATGCTATGCCCAAGGCTAGCTATGGGTGGTTCGGTCGCCGTCCTACTCAGGCTGAGACTTGGAAGCTGTGGGCCCAAGTACGCCGAGGCGACGGCGTATGTCGCTTGGCCAACAAGTTCATTCGCGGTATTCTCCTCGGTGGGTGCTCGCACCTTGAGCTCCTTGCTACTCGGCACTTGTTGTCTGCAGTCACGGCCTCGGATGACCGAAGTGTGCAGAGATGGAATGGGCCCCGTGGACACCCGGTTCACACCTTGCGGGGCTCTTTGCTTGATCAGGGCTGGTCTGTCACTAGGCCTTGGGTGCTTGTGCACAGCTCCGGCCACCGCCTTGATCTCAGAATCGGACGGCTGCCCCACGCTAAGGCTGCTCATGTTTTGCGTGAGGGTTGGAGGGCTCATCTCTTCGGCCGCTTTCTTCAGTCTGACAGACATGAGACTTCTGAGTGGCATGCTCTGCCAGATTGGAGGCCTCTTTTCCGTAAGGTTGCTCTTGAGCCCACTCGTAAGTGGTTGTTTTCTGAGCCTGCTGCTCGTACAGTCGCCCTGCTTGCTGCTGCCAGCCCTGCTTGGATTGTCCCAGGGTCTTCGGACCTGTATATGGGGATGTGGTGCTCTTGGTAGTTGGGATCACATCTGCTGGCAATGCCCTCTGAGGCCTTGCTCCATTTGCAAACCCAGTTCTCCGTTTCTGTCGAGACTGGGGTGGACTGTTGACTCAGGACATGCTTCTCGCCGTGCTCAGGTTTGGCTCGTGCAGGTCGTCAAAGCCATCTGGGCTGACCGGCACGATGGCAGTGCTGTCTAGCACCATCTAAGGTCGGCTGCGCTCTTGCTCTTGATCGCGGCGTTCTCCGGCCTCTCCTTCGGTGTCGTCGGTTGGCGGCGTTCACCTTCAAGCTACTACTACTCGCACACGCTGTTGCAAGCATATTCGTGCTCGACACGATGTAGGGTTAAGTGTTCCCGTAAACACGATCATAGTCGAGTTTATTAGTAGAGTATGCTATACTATACAATGGTATATTATACAATATCATAATCTGTCATCCTAGTTTAGTGCCAGGGATTCTGTGCCACTTTGCCCCTAGCCCCCATCTTCTCTCCAGGGCCCCAGGCCAGAATTTTCGGCCCAACAGAGCTGGCATTCTCGTGCCTCAGAGTTCGCTTCCAACTTCTTCAAAGGATTACTCCTCAACACCTTCTTCCTTGGCTCGTGGTTGGCATACACGGATGATAAGAGCAGAGCGGAGTGAAACATAGTATAAGACACAGTAGCACAACACACAGCAACATCCGTTGAAGACGGGTAGACGATAAACCATATCGTTCAACAGTGCTGAAACAAGGTTAGTGCCGATAGTGTATATCTGGCTAGACTCTCTCAAAACAAGTCCCTGAACCAAGGCCCTAAACCCTAAGCCATAAACAAGACCATGCAACTGGAAGATTCGCATGGTAAAAAGAATCCTCGTTGCAAAACAACATCTGAACGAGGAGCCCGAAAGGCAAGAGATACGCGGTAATATAGGGGCCTAAATACTATGTGAGGATTCCTTATTATATTCATAGTCTAATGGGCCCCAAAACCCTATTCTAATTATTAAGGCCCCAAAATTATATTACCCTTATAGTATCCCCTATAGTAACCCCGTATAGACCCCTTTTAAAGGAGCCCTATTCCAATTATTAAGGCCGCTATAGTACGTCGTTGCTGCAGTTCATGCCCACCCGAGCACTCTCCGAGAGATTTAGGGTTTCAGGGTTGGGGGTGGTCAGGGCCTCGTGTGGTTTTAGGTTTGGGGATTTAGGGTTTAGAGGTTTAGGGCTTTAGGGTTTTTAGGGGTTTAGGGTTTAGGGTGTGGGGGTTTAGGTTTTGGGGTTTGGGGTCCAGGGCCGATTCTTGTTTAGGCCTTTCCGCGAATCTGCTCCTTGCAACCCATGACCTGATTCTCTGAAGCACGCCGCACAAGCCGTGGGCACGCTCTCGCAGCAATGTTCTGACCTTGAGGAAAAGACATGATACCTGAAGGCGACCCTAAACCGAATAATCTAGGAGCCTTAAGAATTACCTATACTGTCTTGGGGGTTCCTCATAGTTTAGAAACTATTTACTAACATAGACAGAGGTTGGAAATAGTGTTGATAGCATTTTCTAGCAGTCCGTAGCTCCCGATTCCAAATATTACGGCCTGCATGCTACGGGCAGTGTCCTCGGTCCTCTGCTGTTCTCACTAGTAGAGAAGCATAAATGATTACCAAGACCATGCCTGGGGGTAGTTATACTATAATATACCCCAAAGTTCTGTTCTTATTATGAAGCCCGCAGTCTTATAGAACCCGTATAGTAACCCTTGTACATCCTTTTGAAGGAACCCTATCCTAAATATTAAGGCACTTATTTAGTTGCGCTCCTGGAGGAATTGATGTGGGCCAGACACCAGGGTCTGGAAAGGGCAGCAGAGCAATTAGCACTAGGCTGGGTTCAATGTTTGTGCTCCTTGTTTTTGTCTGTGTAGGTGTGTGAGTAATTTTATATATGTATACACGTTTGTGAATTTCTGTATTGAACATATTGTATACAAGGGAGAGAAAGAATTGAGAGAGAGAGAGATAGAGCGAGAGAGAGAGAGAGAGAGAGAGAGCGAGAGAGAGAGAGAGAGAGAAAATAAAAAAGAGAGAGAGAAAGAGGGAAACAGAGCGAGAGAGAACAAGGGAGGGAGGGAGGGCGAGAGGGAGAAAGGGGGAGAGAGGGAGATGTGTTTGTGAATGAGTGCGGAAACCGCAGAACACACCCCGCATAAGTGCATGCACCATTCAAGCTAGGATGGTAACATATCCACTGGAACAAAATGGAGCAGTAGTTATTCTTCTGCCCCAAATCCAAATCCGGTCCGTACCCCAACAACCTAGACCATAAAGCCAAGAAAGGCGGCTCCATCACTCCGCAAGCTTTTGGCTGGCCTGGCGCTGGTCGGCAGCCCACCTTGCTCCGGGTGTATATTGGGCATGGGAAGTTGGGAGTTCATGTGGTCGAAGGTTCGAATACACTGAACACGACGGAGCCAAATGAGCTTTCGGCCAACTGAGAATGAATCGAAACTTGTCATCTTGCCGGTATCGCCTTCGATGAGTTGAAAGCACTTGCAATCCGACAGTCTGCAGCTTCGTCTTCTGAAATCTACTGGCGCAGCTGTGGGCATCATGTGTAACGATGAACATGTGAACAAGCTTGCCATAGCTGAGGAAGATGAATGAACCTATCGACATCGCTTCGACTAGCCGATACTCGCAACCAATGCCCATTGAGGGAGACAATCGGGCCAACAGAGTCTTCGGGGTGTTTCGTCTTCAGATTTCCCAGCTTCCAGCTGCCGTAAACCCCGAGCAGGGCCGCTGGGACTTTGCAAGATTGCCCAGACAAGCCCGCTAGGCTTATATAGAACCAAGAGAGTGTTCAACTATTCAACCCTACAGCCGAAACCCCGAACTCCTGAATCCTGAATCCCTAAGGCCCTATACCCGGAACCCCTAAATCCATCCCATAGTTCCCTCAAAGGAGCCCTCATAGAGCCCTTATAAGAACCGTATCAGGAAACTCCAAGCAGACCTGTTTCAAGCGAGGTAGCGCTGACGTCAAGTATGCTCCTGGCCGCGTCTATGACGAGGCAGTCATAAGTTGGTTGACACAGGGTTTAAGTGTAGTGCTTTATCGTCTAAAGGTCTTGGTAATGTTTCAGTGAAAGTTTGCATGGGGGTTCAAGGGTTCAGATGTGTTTCGATGTTTGGTTTCGGGTTACGGTTTCCCTCTGAACCCTGAACACTACGAGGTGGAGAGGGTATCTAAGAAGGCAGGCTGCTCTCAGGTTGCCTCATAGTTTGCCTTTTCTGCTGCTAGTGTTTTGTGTGTAGTGTAGGAACATCTCTGCGAAGTCGGAGCAAGAAGCTCTCGTCTGCAGCAACCCTAAACCCTAACACCCACAGCCTACACTATTGATTGGCCCCAGAATGCCAAGCCCGCAGGGCACATCCCTTAAATCCTCTCTATAACCACGGAACTGTCCTCCAAACAGAACAAGGAGCACGTCGTAAAAGCGGACATGCCTGAATCAATAAGAATCAAGGTCTCATTTCGGGCATAAAACCCTCAAAACCCTCAAGCTGAGGCCATAAACCCTAAACCTTAGAAGGAGCCCCCACCCTGTAATAGTGGTATAATAGGAATATAGTAGGGCCCGAATAGAATCCTTATAGTCACTATTACAGGGTGGGGGCCCCTTCTAACCTAAACCCCCAAATTCTGAACCCTGGAGCCGAGGCCCAGGACTACCACCTTGCCCTTCATCTCGGAAACTCAGGCAAAGGTTCAGCTGGCCGCAGCCTCGGACGTTTAGGGTTCGATAGTTAAGGTTCGTTACTTTAAGGGTACCATAGGCTCCCCAAATGGGGTCTCCCTGTAAGGGTACCGCAGGTTTCGGTAGTAGGGCTCCCCTTTAAGAGCTCTGTGTGGGTTCTATAGTATGGGTCTTAGCAGGGTTTTGAAGGATCAGAATGTAGGCGCCTCAGAATTTCGCATTCGGTGTTATGGGTGGGCCCTCATAGTATAACTGTTTCGGGACTATTAGCGGGCTTTGTGGGTTTTTCGGCTTTGAGGTTGTCGGTTCAGTTTGGGTTCACGGGATTGGTGGTTATCCTTTGTTTTTGCTGGGGGAAGTTAGGGATTTGACGGCTTCATGAGTCCAGACTTCCAGACGTCCCAAGCTGCAATATATCCGAAATCTGTAAGTGTGGCAACTACTGCAGATTTGAACGTCTGGAAACCTGTCGTCACATTTAGGAAGCCGTCACTTTTTTCGCTGCTAGAGGCAGTTTTCGACAGGTTCAACCTCAATCCTCCCCACAGCCTCAACCAAGAACCTCCGATACTCTTTGGGCGTGAGCCGTAACGGATAACTCCCCACAAGAAAGCCGCCGCGAAGTGGTATCATGGGCCCCCCAAAACCCTTTGCCAACTGTTGAGGCCCCTATACTATGGTACCCTTGTATTATGCCTTATAGTAGGCCCTTCTTAAACCCCTTTAAAGGAGCCCCATTCCAATTCTTAAGGCCCCTATACTATAGTCATAGTACCCTTATCGTATCCCATATTATAGTGGCCCCTTTAAAGGAGCCCCATTCCAATTCTTAAGGCCCCTATACTATAGTCATAGTACCCTTATCGTATCCCATATTATAGTGGCCCCCTTTAAAGGAGCACCATTCCAATTATTAAGGCCTACACTAAGTCCTCTGAGCCCTTGAAGCTCAACTGTGCGGCTGCCAAGCGCTTGAAGCCCCAGGGCCTCGAATCCCTAAGGGCTCTGAATCCCCAAACCCTAAGATCCTAAAACCATTAGGGTTATAGGGATTAAGGTTATAGGGTTAGAGTTTAGGGTTTAGGGTTATCTAAAACCCTAGACCCTAAACCCTAATCCCTGAACCCTAAGACCCTTAAACCCTAGACCCGGCTCCCTTCATACTCGGAGACGCGGCCTCAAAGCCTGTGTGCCCCTCAAGACGTAGCAAAATCCCTGGCGATGTTGGGGTGGTCTCAGCAAAAATCACATTCATATTTAGGGTTCAGAGTATTCAGGGTCTTCTACAGGAGGTTCTTCTGACCCTGTCACTCTCCCACTGTCGTTTTCTCATTCGTGATCGTATCCCAGCAGCCGCCTGCATGATAAATAGTATGGCCCATACGAACCCTGAACCCCGAACCCTTCCCTTAAGCCTGAACTTTTAAGCCCGAAACCTTACGCCCCAGCCCTCTTCTCCTTGGCGTCTGAGGATTCCGGCATTTTCTCACCCGTAGACTACGAGGCACTCTCCGAAGATAAGCAAAACAATGCCACCATGGGGGACTTGAGATCGAGATAGGATGTCGGGGGCTATCATATAGTATAAAGTGTTAGGGACTACAAGGGAATAGTATTTCTGACATGGTCGCGCTGAGTTATGGAGGCCTATCTGCGCTTAGTGTCGGTGTTGCTGTAGGCTTCTCATCACAAGGACCTCTAGTAATGAGGTACCCCTAAACCCTAAAAAAAACCCAAAACCCTAAACCCAAAACCCTAAACCCTAAACCCCGCAAGCAGTGAAGGAGATGTTGCCTGTTGATCGTACAACCCCTTGCCCCGATCCTTGCACCCGGCCCCAAAAGCCCTAACTGGGAGTTTCCGAAAACTAGGGGTACCTTATTTGGGGGTTCTTATAATAAGGATCCTACTATTTAGGGCACTAAGTTAGGGTCCCCCATTTCGGAAACTCCCAACTCCTAAAAACATGTCCCGGCACACCTGAACCCTATGCTCTTAAACCTCTGAACACGAACGCCCTTCGAAAAGTGCCCTAAACCCTAGACCCTGAACATGTTCAATGGGACCTGCGTCGGCGGAATAGGTGTTTTCAAGGTTGTTTTCTACAAGAGTGTGATGTTTATGAAGTCATACTGTAGATGTCGCTTTAAAGCAAAACCTGGTTTGGATAGCTTCGAGTATACGTACTGATACAGGTGCTTGCTGTTCAGACCCCAATTTTGCTACCTCAAGCACCGGCCCATGACAATAGTAGACAATCATCCTGCATTGTGCTACTTTGTGGCTGCGCTGCTTTGCTGTATTGTACTCTCGGCATATACTGGGTAGTGGACGTATGAAGACAGGTTATTATTTTGCAATTGCACGTGTTGCATGTTTGCCGCTATACTACCGGCCGGCACTGCCATTCTCAGCGTATCATGCTAGCAGATTTGTATTTCGTGTTTGGCATATAGTGATTTGTCATTGCACCCATGCATCGCAGAAGTGTTTGATCTTCAGAAACTGGACTAGCTTTTTGGTTGCGATTGGATAATGTTTTTCGAGTAGAGGTGTGCATCAGACAAATCCCGGATTGTTACATCTATGCTCGAAGCTAGTGTTGCGCCATGCTTAATCGCTGAACAAATCACTCCGAAATGTGAAGAATGCCTGCCGGGGCTTGGAGCTTGCCGTGGGCCTAAGAGCTAAGCCCCCGAGCCATGGTTGTTCTGTCACACCTTGTCTAGAAGGTTCCCCCCCCAGAAAGCTATGACCCAGTCGCCCAAACGTCGCGTATCCCAACCAGGCCGCACTAAACCCCACCACGAGCCTGTCACCGCACGACGCTGCTTGGACGGCGAGGTTTGAAGTGGGGTCGGAGACTTCTTGTTGTTATGTTCACCACTACATGGGAGTTTCCGAAAATAGGGGACCCTAATTAGTAGGATCCTTATTATAAGGACCCCCAAATAAGGTACCCCCTATTTTCGGAAACTCCCACATTTCGATTTTGTCAAAGACTGGTTCAAGGCAGTGTCTGCTGCACTGCTGGGCTCTTTCAAACGGCGGTTCGGGTTTGGGAGTTGTTAAGTTCAGGGTTCAAGGGCAGTAGCTGCAGGAACAAACACGGGCATGGGTTTTGGGTACTTCTTTGTTAACTATACAGCTGTGGGCGTAAAGTCATGATCGTGGTAATTCGCACATCAATCCGTAAGCTTTCTAAACCCTGAATGACCTCAAAGCCCTAACCGATTTGATATTATCACTACCCTTATGCCCGTTTGAAGCATCGTCAGACTTAGCTTCAGCGAAGCAATACATAGAATTACGGTCGACACGAGCGACTGATGACAGCGACTGTAACTTCCCCACCGGTGCAAACAAAGCATAGTTGTAGTCTGCGCTTCCTCTTTTGGCAGAACTGCAACTGCGTGGTTAGGATCCTAACATATACAACAACGTCGTATCGAAGGGGTGGCGTGCTGAAGGTAGCAAGCGGACGCAGTACCTACTTACTTGCGCTACTCAGTACTCCTCCTCCTCCTCCTCGTACTAGTACTAGTACTACTACTAGTACTAGTACTAGTACTAGTACTAGTACTAGTACTAGTACTACTACTGCTACTACTATTACTACTACTACTACTACTACTACTACTACTACTACTACTACTACTACTACTACTACTACTACTACTACTACTACTACTACTACTACTACTACTACTACTACTACTACTACTACTACTACTACTACTACTACTACTACTACTACTACTACTACTACTACTACTACTACTACTACTACTACTACTACTACTACTACTGCTGCTGCTGCTGCTACTACTACTACCGCTACCACTACCACTACCACTACTACTACTACTACCACCACCACGACGACTACTACTACTCCTGCTGCTGCTACTACTACTACTACTACTACTACTACTACTACTACTACCACTGCTGCTACTGCTACTGCTACTGCGAAAGGTCCATATATGGTCAGGCGTCTGGCGTTCCCAGCTCCCCCCCCAATGGTATGGTCTGATAGGCTGGCGTGTGCGGAAAGGGGTTGGGGGCCGTTGCAGCTGCCACCGGATGGTGGGGTGGTGCTGGCGGCCAGGGCTCACGCGCAAGCCCTTCGCAAGCAAGCCGTAAACCCTATAACGCAGCGCATGCCCCTGTTTTGAGCAACCTTAACTTGTACTTAAAACGCTACACCCAACCCTAAACCCCACCTAACTGCAGGCTCTAAGCCTAAAGCAGAGCATACACCGCAAATCCTCCCTAAGCCCTTGTCGACTCGAAGCCTTATACCTTGTAACCGTAAACCCAAAACTCACAAGCTTAAGCTAAACCCTAAACCCCAAAACCCCACAACCACCCACAGGGGGAAGAGGAACCCCACACCCCACACCACAGGGGAGGGGGGGGCCCCACCCTATATCCGGACCATTGACCTTTGGGGGGGGAGGGGGGGTGACCATATATGGTCACGCGCTCCGCGGCCCCCCCCCCCCTCCCCCCCCAAAGGTCAATGGTCCGGATATAGGGTGGGACCCCCCTCCCCTGTGGTGTGGGGTGTGGGGTCCCTCTTCCCCCTCTGGGGTGGTTGTGGGGTTTTGGGGTTTAGGGGTTAGCCTAAGCTTTTGAATGTTGGGTTTACGGTTACAAGGTATGACGCTTCGAGTCGACAAGGGCTTAGGGAGGATTTGCGGTGTATGTTCTGCTTTAGGCTTAGAGCCTGCAGTTAGGTGGGGTTTAGGGTTGGGTGTAGGGTTTTAAGCACAAGTTAAGGTTACTCAAAACAGGGACAATCGCGGCGTGATAGGGTTTACGGCTTGCTTGCGAAGGGCTTGCGTATGAGCCCTGGCCACCAGCACCACCCCACCATATAGTGGCAGCTCCAACCGCCCCGACCCCTTTCCGCACACCCCAGTCCCCCCCCCCCCCACCCCCTACCAGACCATACCATTGGGGGGGGGGGGGGGGGGGCTGGGAACGCCAGACGCCTGACCATATATGCGGTTTGCCTCATTTTCTGAAGCTTCTCCCACATCTCACGGTTCTTAGGCCTGTGCTACTTGGCTGTTACCTGGGCCCGGGCTGAGGCTTTCCAAACTCGATGATCGTGTATGGCGTATGGTATTACATTACAGTATGTTGTAGTGTGGTATAGTATAGTATAGTATACTATAGTATAGTATAGTATAGTAGAGCACACATACATATATATATATATATATATATATATATATGCACATATGTATATGCTACTGCATCGCATAATGTTGTAGTCAGGCTCTCAGTCGTCTTTATCTACTAAGCCTCTCGTTTCGGCAGGGGCATGAACCCCTAGACCCAGATATCCCGAACATTCCCGAATATCTTAGGGCTCGGCGGACGTAAGCATGGAGAAGGACGTTGCATACACCGGTGCCACGCAGTTCGCGGGGATGCCCAGGACAGAACGTCGCCGCCGTCGCATAGCTGAGGTACGCAGCTTCTATGATGAGAGTGTTACTGGATGATTTAAGCCGACGCTACTGAACAGCTTTGCCAAGAATCGCAGCAGTGTAGCTTTGCGTGAGGTAAACGGTGTGGATAGGAAGGCATCCCAGGAAGCAGGACGGAGGAGAAAGACTCACGGGTCAAAAAGGGTGTTGTGCTGACCACGACTCGTAGCAGAAGTTGCAGTACTGTTGTAGTATCGCAGTATCAGCTGCTGATGTTTTTGCTTTTGCTGTTGTTGCGGTGGTGGTTGTGTTGCTGGTGGCGGTGCAGCTGACCGGCAGCTAACCACGACGACTGCAGCACGGGTTCTGGATGGTTCTGGTGTTGTAGAAGTTGCAGTGTTGTGCTTGTGGGCGCTTGCATCGTGCTCCTTGTAGTCGCAGTCGCGTAGAGGAGCCGTAGCCGAAGACGAGTAGGGGTTTGCCTTCCCAGGTCTGGCGGAATGTGCTGATTCCGGCAGAGTGCTTGGCTAGGCTGGAACCCCAAGCGTGGCTTTTAAGGACCTAGCAGCACAAGAGCCGGGCGACTGGGTTTCGGTTGCTGTCGGTTAGTTGGTTGTTCAGGCTGGTTTCGTACTAGTAGGTTGTGTAGAATGTAGAGGATTGCAAACGCATTGTTGCTCAAACCCTAAACCCTAAATATTACTCTTCCCCTAAACCCTAGACCCTGAACCCTGCTGCTTGGAGGTCGGAGCTGTTTCAGAAGTTCTTTGTCGCAAGATTTCGGGTGCCGGCGGCTGCGGCCTTTTTTGTGTACCACTGATACTAATACTACTAAGACTAGCACGTAGCAATAATACTACTAATTGTAATTTGACAGAAATGTTAGCAGCAATGGAAATAATAGTAAAGATAGCAATAATAGTAATAACAATGGTAATGGCAATAGGATTGAAGATACATTCACATGGGTAAGTTGCCTATGCCCAGCCCAGCATCGTGCAATGTGGTCGAAGTGGAATGGTGCACGTACTTCCCAGGTCAGGTTGTGACTGTAGCCTTCCACTTTCAGCAGTTGGCCAAGTGCCCGTAGACTTGCAAAGTGGCCTGTCAGGTGTCGAAATGACGCTCGCTGCCGCGTTTGGGTTCTTGACACCCAGTCGTATGAGTGGGGCTCTCGGACTCTTCAAGGTGCGAACGTTTGTGTTCCACAAATTGAGGCCTTGTCAGCATTTTGCATGGTGGGATTAATGGGTTTTGGATGAAAGCCTCAAAATTTTTCAATGTGTCCGAAGCCAACTCTCGTTGATTGGACGAGCATGCAATTCTTCAGCTTTCCGGCGTCCAGTTCATCTTCCTTTGGACTGCCAAAAACAGGGACAAGAGGTGGAGGGTTTAGAGATGGGAACTTCAGAAAATTGCGGCGGGGGTACCTTATTTTGGGATCCTTATAATAAGGATCCTACTATTTAGGGTACCATATCAGGGTCCCCTATTTTCGGAAGCTCCCAGATGTTTAGAGTCATAGGGTTGAGCACCGCCGCCACTACCACCGCCACCACTGCCGCCACAACATCAGCATGATAGTGTGATCGGTTTCATCAGAATCCTTGTGACCCTGTGTGCATGTGCTGTACACCGAGAAGTATGGCGGAATACGGCAAACTCCCAAGCCTCCTTTTGGGAGTTTCCGAAAACAGGGAACCCCAATATAGTACCCTAAATAGTAGGATCCTTATTATAAGGACCCCCAAAATTCGCTACCCCAATTTTCGGAAACTCCCTTTTGGCTGAGGTGTAGCCTGAAATGGGTGGAGCCGAACGAACGCGTTCAGAAGGCGCCTTTCAAGTTGCCGGAGGCTCTCTCCAGAGACTCCAGGAGCCCCTTAATTAAGGAATATTCCTTAAATCATATTAGGGATCCTACTATAAATTAAGGAATATTCCTTAAGTCGTATTAGGGATCCTACTATAATTTAAGGAATATTCCTTAAGTCGTATTAGGGATCCTACTATACTTTAATGTATGTTCCTTAATTAAGGGATGTTGGAGTCTCTGGGTCTCTAGCAACGATGCATCATTGCACGACCGATAGTTTCAACTCGCTGCTACCAAGTAGTCCAAGTAGTGCCAGTGCAAGCAGTTCGCGTATATCAGTCCTGTTACTCCTCCTCCGAACCCTCGATTTCTGTCACCTAATACGATCACAATAATGGCAATAGTTGATGGTACACCAGAAAATCTGCAGCCCATGGAGGTTTCGAAACCAGGGAGCGTGAGCGGCCTGCCGTTTCAGTGGAACAAGCCATGCCCCAAGAGTGCAACGCCTTTGGATATAGTATGGGGTTTAGGGTGCGCTGTTCTCATCCGGCTCGGTCCTTTCCGTTTAAACTTCCGTGTTTTCTGCGGCTGCCTGGAGTGCTAGGCTGGCGTAAACAAGTGACTGTGAGTAGTCGACCAATGCGGGCTGTGAGAACAGCTTGAGGTGGGTTGCTACTCAATGCAACCTCGTCGCGCAACAATGGTCACGACGACGACGACACTACTGCTGCTACAACCTATTGCGCTGCTATATACCTGTTATAAGTACTCACTACCACTTACTGCTACCACCACCACCACTACTTGTTACTGCTGCTGCTGCTGCTACTGCTACTGCTACTGCTGCCACTACTACTACTACTACTACTACTACTACTACTACTACTACTACTACTACTACTACTACTACTACTACTACTACTACTACTACTACTACTACTACTACTACTACTACTACTACTACTACTACTCGTCCGACTCCTCTTCCTCCTGCTGCTGCTGCGACTAGCAACTTCCTCTGCCGCTGCTTCGGCTGATGCTACCACTCAACAGTACTGCCACTGCTACGACTGCTGCTGCTGCTTCTGCAGTACTGCTACGGCCGCTACTTGTACAACTCCCACGACGACCACTCCTCAATTTGTTTCATGCGCCTTGCTCCTTGCGGCTACAGCAAAGCAGGGAGTTTGTTTGTTTCGTCTGCAATGTGCCATCAGGCCACATAGCATCTTCTGCTATGCAGTCATGCGCCCGGGCACCTACGAGCAAGGCATGGCCGTGGGTTTATGCAGCGATTCGTGCAAGACTTGGGCTCCGGAGATCTCAGTGGGCAGCATGGGGGGCGGTCTGCCTTGCAGACCCCAGGGGCATAGAACCGAAGGTCCAAGAATGAACTTAAACCTGAAAGCCTAAATTTGCCTAATTAATCCAAAAGAGTGGCGCTTCTGTCACAGGAGGCCCTCGTCCTGGCCCCCCTAAACCCTAAACCCTAAAACAAGTTTTAAGCAGCACGTGCTCGCAAAGCTTCACCTCGTTCTTGGCCGCAGGGAACCCTCCGCAAACCCCGCTGTCAAACCCAACCGAAGGGATCATGTAGGGGCCCCTTTTAATATGGATCCTACTATTTAGGGTTCTATATTAGGCTCCCGTATTTTCGGAAACTCCCAACCCTAAACCCTTTAAAGAACCCTTGCAGATCCCTTAAAGGAACCCTTAAGGCTCCCCTACTTTTCGGAAACTCCCATGTTCCTTTCTGCTTGCAGGATTGCTCTCCTGGCAGCCCTGCCGGCATGTGGGATGACGGCCCATACCATGCGCTTGCGTGGGCTTTTGGGGTCTTTTGGCTCCTAACTCCTAAACCGCAAACGTAACCTATTCCCAAAACCTTACACCCTAACCTACTCCCTAAACCCTAAATCCTACACCCTAAACCCTAACTTATTACCCAAAAGCCCTAAATCCTGCAGCGATTCAGGGCTTCTGACTATTTCGGGACCTCGGGCCGAAGCTCCGAGGGCCTTTTGGGCCTCGGGAGATTATCGGGTTTCAGAAGGTTGGGTTTAGGGGTTTAGGGTTTAGGGTAGATTATCGGGTTTCATAAGGGTTTCTAGGGTTTCGGAAGGTCTTATGGGTTTAGGGCTCATCGGGCCTGCAAGGGTTGTGTAGAGCTTGCAGGGTTCCTAGTGTTGCACAAGATGTCTTACAAGGGTATATAGGGTGGAAGGTTCATAGGGTGTTTTGGGTTGAATAAGGTGTGCTCGAGGGCTTTAGCTAGGTTGGCAGGGTTTTAATCAAGGCAAGGGAAGATGATCGTCACGATACGGGTGACCCTGGAGAAGATGATGAAGATGCTGAGCGACGGAGGTGATCGTCATGATCCGCTGGTGATAACCGTGATTTGGAGGCCGTGATGATGGTGTGACATGATATGTCATTGTATTCCGTGCTGAGCTATGACATGATATGTGGTTGACCATGCCATAGCCGGGCTGGGAAAACGACGATGGTGGCCAGAATGGTGTTGATGGTGTTGTTACTTAGAATCAGTATGAAAATGCCTGAGACGAGGCTGATGGCCCGAGGTGCCAGTGGTGACAGTGATGTCGAAGATGAGGCTACGGCGACGATGACGACGCCGTGGAAGAGAAAGGTGACAGCATCATTGGCGTTGCAGGTGAACTCGATGGCGGCACGAACTTACGATGGTGTTGTTGGTGGTTTTCGCTGACTAACTATTGTTTAAATGGATGGGCCACGCCGAGGTGATGATCAAGTTGATATTGCTCATATGCAGCAGATGATGATGTGGAGGAGGAGGAGGAGGAGGAGGAGGAGGAAAAGAAGCAGCTAACCGTGGACCAGCATCAAAGCATCAGACGAGATCAGTTCTTTACTGGGCCATGACAGGTACCAGAACAAGGCCAACATCTTCGCGTGCGATGAGTGGGCTGTTTACAGCAGCCAGAAGGCGTGTTTGGTGCTCTGTGTGTGCTATGTTACCTTTGCCGGGAGGTCGTGGGGGATGGGCATCTACCGTGGGGAGACTTGTTGGGTCACGCTGCTCGGAGGTCTAGGGCCATATGAAGCTGGGTTTAGGTATGGGTGTTTGTGAGTGTATGCAGGTCTCGTCGGGACTGTTGAGCATTGGTATGTGGCGATACTAGAAATACAACCCGTTTGCCCCTTGTGAAAGGAGGCTTCACTGGGCGGTGAGGACATACTTGAGCTGATCTGTTCAACAGGACCGTTCGTGGTGACTCCGGCTGCTATAAATAAAAGTCGGCTCGTGTGAAGGCTACGAACCTTACCACAGCAGCCTGCACAGGTTCAGGTCGTGGAGGGTGCTCTTGAATCTGCAGTGGTCGACTCCGACCTCAAGTGCGAGATGGGCCGGGGCCTTTCATCTCAGTGTGGAAGGATGAAGCACAAAGCCTGGGGCCTGCAGACAAATGTTGCCCTTGTTCTCTTCCTGCTCACTCTCTTGCCCGCACCCTCCTCCTGCTTCCAATGGCCATATTGTCCCCATTGGCGGCATCATTATCATCAAAGGTTTTACAGGGTGCATCATAATCTTGGCTTGGCTGAAGCTTTCGGTGCATGCTGGCGAAATGCGAAGATCGTCAATACCGTCTCCGAAATCACTGCTGATGCCATGACCACCACCCTTCTGCAATCCGCATCACCGCATCACCCACATATTCAATAACAATCAAAGAGATGGCCATTCATCAGCATGACTTCACCGCCACCATGCTGCAAGTCCTAGCATGCTAAGGCGGAGAGTTCGGTACTGCCCTCAACACGGAAATCTTCTTCAAGGCCTCCGGTCCTGGCCAGGAAGATTGATCATTCACGCAGAGGGCATAATGTAGGAACCTGATTAAGAATCCTTGGGCCTATATCCCCCAAATAGTAGGATCTATATAAGGAACCCCAACAAACGCCCAAGGTTTCTTAATCAGGTTCCTACATTACAAGTACAGGATGGAGGTTGAACTTGCCCTGCAATCAACCGATTTTGGAGTTTCCTGGCGGCGGGGCAATTACAGAAATGCATAGGCATGCAATTATCGAGCCAGTCCTTAGCCGCTCGGTAACTTGATGCCTTCTTGCCTCTGGCAGCTATTATGATGCTTGGCTAACACGTTGAACGCACATCTTTTGAGGAATTAGTCGTTGAGGCAGAAAGATTCCTCGTGCCGGGGTTCAAGAAGTTCTAGGGACCGGAATTCATCGTGGCAGGACTTGCTGCCACGATAAAAGAACAGGTTGCTGCAGAGGATTTACCATGCGCAGGTGTGGGACAAGGTCTACGAGGACAAGCGTTACCTCTTCCACGAATGGATTGTCAAGGCAGGGTCCCTTTCACGGGCTGTCTGAAGCAGCCGCAGCAGCATCGATTGCCTTGAATCTTGGGTTTGTGTGCTGCAGCGATCATGGGCCCCCTGTTTAAAGGAGCTGGATCTGGTAAAGCGCGGTAGAAGAGATCCCCAAACTTCTGGACCCTTTAGGCGCTTAAGGGCCCTTAAGGGCCCTAGCTCTGCCTGGACCTTAGCAGCCCAGAGCAGGTCGATCCGGATTCTGCGTTCTTTGTGGACCGCTTGCGGGTGACGGCCCCTAGGCCGCACTGGGGTGTCGGGCATGCGAAGCGTTGCCCTGCAGGCTGAATCGTGGCTTCAATCACGAAGCTCGAAGCCACTGAACTTTGCTCCTGTGCCTTTGTAGAGGCGCAGAACCAACACAAGCAAACTATCATCAAGAGCGAACCCTGAAGCTAAACCCTTGTACATTCAGGTAGCCTACTACCACGACATCAAGGGCGGCATCTACTTCAACAACTGCAAATTCGGCATGCCAGGGCCCCGAAACCACGGAGCCTTCGGTTCAGTGCTTTGCCTTTGCAATGTCTGTCTGTTTACGACACTGACTTAGCGGGCCTGCGGTGTTGCTCTTTGCGTCTTTGAGCAGCATGCTCGTTTTAAAGTTTAGGGCCTTAGGATTCTTAAAAGGGCTGCTGGAAGGGATCCATAAGGTTACTATAAGGGGTTTCGGGGTTTAGGTTTGAGGAAAACGGATGAGTGCATTGGCACCTGCGGCCGGAGGATCAACAACAAGAACGACAAAAGAAGCCATGCAACATCGCGAACGATGACGGCGACAACACGCCGCCACCAGCGGCAGCAACAGCAACAACCACAACTGGCCACCGCCGCCACCGCAACATACCACAACAACAGCCGCAACTGGAACTGCAATCACAACCAAACCAGCAGCAGCAACAACAACAAACCAACAACACCAACAACACCAACACAACGGCAACCGCAACAGCAACCGCAGCACCACAGCCACAGCCCACAGCCAACAGCCAACGCACTGCCACAGCCACAGCAAACAGCCAACAGTCAACATCCAACAACTAATACAGCCACCACCACCGCCACCACCAACAACAACACAAATTCAACCACACAAACGTCAACCACAACTCCCTCAACTACACGAACAACAGCAGCAACAACAACAACAGCAAGAGCAACAACAACAACAACATCAGCAACAACCACACCCACAACTACGACAACCAACAGCCAATAGAACACAACAGCCACATCGACCACAGCAGTCACAGCAACCTCAACGCCGCAGCAGCAACAACTCCAGCAAGCAACAACATCAGCACTGCAGCTACTACTACTACTACTACTACTACTACTACTACTACTACTACTACTACTACTACTACTACTACTACTACTACTGCTACTGCTACTGCTACTGCTACTGCTACTGCTACTGCTACTGCTACTGCTACTGCTGCTGCTGCTACTGCTGCTACTACTACTACTACTACTACTACTACTGCTACTGCTACTGCTACTGTTACTACTGCTACTACCGAAAGCCACCACCGCGCTGAGAGCGACTCTCCTTTTTTCACCAGGCACGGGCCCATCGAAGTCTTCTCGCAAAACGCTGTGGAAGCCTGGCGAAAAGGCCATCGGACTCGACAAAAAAATGGCTTGAGTATGGGGAGTGGCAGGTGCTTGGGGCTGACACATATGTGTGTGTATATATATACACATATACACACATACATACCCACATTGGCATCTAACAGCTATACATATATACATACTTGCGCAGGTATCTGTGTGCTTCTCGACTTTGGTCTGCCTATCTATGCAGGAGTTGGCTGGACCTAGTTCGCGGCAGCCTGTCACAGTGCCTTGTGCCGACTACTTTTGCCGGTGCATTTTCAGATGTTGGGTGCAGTTTGGGGTCTTCTGAACACAGCTGGTCCCCAAGATCCAACAGATAATTCCATGATGGTGATGATGGCAATGGTGATGGCTCCCACTATAGGCTACTCTGTTTCATACCTTTCACCGGCATTCTGTGCTTTCTGGACTCTAAACTCCTCAGCCCTAAATTTCCTAAAATCCGAAAAGCTCCTACACCCCTCAACCCCCCCAAACCCCTAAACTCCTCAAAACCCTAATTCCCTGACTCCCGGAGGCCGCCACCACTGCGTGCAGCACTTCAACAGGCTTTGCTCTGGCCCATGCCTGTGGGGTGAGGACGGAGAAACCGGCTTGGGGTTTATAGGGTCTGGGGTTTATAGAGTTTAGGGTTTGGGGCTTATAGAGTTTAGGGTTTGGGGTTTATAGAGTTTAGGGTTTGGGGTTTATAGAGTTTAGGGTCTGGGGTTTATAGAGTTTAGGGTTTAGGGTTTGGGATCTATAGGGTTTTGCTTTTCCCCAGCGCTTACAGACGTCGCCGCTCTGCCTGCTCCACACATGCCTACACCCTCATCCCTAAACCCTGCACCCTTTGCACCTAGCACATCCTGACCTCAGCTAAGCGTTTGTGTTTGCGAGGGCCCAAAGCCCCAGTCCCCACAAGCTGGTTCAGAGGTGCTGCATACTCTTCCGGAAATAGGGATCAATGGCAATTGTCATCGCAACGCAACAATAACAGTACCCCCGCTAATATTGATGATCGTAAGATCAAGAGTGGTGGAGGTAGTAGTAGTAGTAGTAGTAGTAGTAGTAGTAGTAGTAGTAGTAGTAGTCGTAGTGGTAGTGGTAGTGGTAGTGGTAGTGGTAGTGGTAGTGGTAGTGGTAGTAGTAGTAGTAGTAGTAGTAGTAGTAGTAGTAGTAGTAGTAGTAGCAGTAGTAGTAGTCGTAGTCGTAGTCGTAGCCGTAGCAGTAGCAGTAGCAGTAGTAGTAGTAGTAGTAGTAGTAGCAGTAGTAGTAGTAGTAGTAGTTGTTGTAGTTGTAGTAGTGGTGGTAGTAGTCGTAATCCTAGTCGTCGTCGTCGTCGTAGTACTAGTAGTAGTAGTAGTAGTAGTAGTAGTAGTAGTAGTAGTAGTAGTAGTAGTAGTAGTAGTAGTAGTAGTAGTAGTAGTAGTAGTAGTAGAGTAGTTTAGTAGTCTAGTAGTTTAGTCGTTGCCAGATTCTCTCGGAGCTCAACACTAAAGTAGCTAAGTTAGATGGGTCTTTACAAAAACATGAGGAGCTGGGAAGAAGCCATTCGCGAAATCGTCCTAAACCCCGGTCTCTATTCAAAATCGGTTCACAAAGGTTTCTGGGCCTTAGCCAGCAGAGACGGAGGAACAGTCGTTTTGTTGACGGAAGTGAAAGAACACGGCCCGATGAACCTCTTGAAAGGGTCTTGGGTGCAGGGCTTAGGGCTGAGGGTTTCGGTAGAGCGTACTGCAGCTGGTTATCTGCAAAAAGAGGAAGCGGGTAACGGCTTACGATTTGCGCGGATAGTGAGATTGGCTGAGGGTTTTGATGTAGCCGCCCTCAAGCTGCTGATGTGATCCTCCTCTCCCCTGTGGCGAAATCCTGGTCCCTTCACAACCGCAGGACATGTTCATTGACCAGTGCCTGATGAAGGCACCTTGTTGCAAAAGCTGCTAAGCTGAGAGCCGCACCTAACTCCTTGGCAGTTTGCAGCGGTCCTCGAGTTCCCAAATCTCTAATATTCAGACTCAGGCGACCCGAAGATAGGGTTCACTGTTTGAGTCTGGTTCACGGTAACCCAATACGACTAGACATGTCTGAGCCTCACTGAGAAGGTGCTGGACGTGAAGCGTGTCAATGATTGGCCACTCGCTTGCAATCGAGAGCCGTTGTTGGGCCTCGGCTCGGCTCTGACCTTGTGGAATCGGCATGCCGCATCCGTAGTCTGCGAAAGTGGCTGCAGCTACGACCGTCTCTGCTACCGTCCAGACTACCCGCACGAAGTTCGTCCGTTCCGGCACGGCAAACATAGAGCTTTGATGAACTGGTTCTGGCCAAAGCTTGCTGGATCCGAAGACAGAGCTCTTCACAAGCCTATGAGTAGATACCGGGTGCGTCTGCTAGAATCTGAGTGAAGCGAGTGTTTGCGTAGTAGATATGAATAGAGGGGCTTAGCAGCAAGTGCGGTGATTTTTCTGAGATGTGGCGTGCTGAGGAACCTGATCAGCGAAGCTCATTGCGATTCTCCGGTGCTCAGCTCAGTTTGCAGCCGCGCTTGCTGAGCGTTACCTCCAACTACTAACTACTGTTATTACATGTTATTACCCTGACTAGATAAGTAGTACGACTAAATGAATGTTTGTTGTTCACGCATCGCTTTAATGTTGTCGACCTGCCTGTTTTTTGCTAGTTCAATGTACCTTTGAGGGATCCCCTGCATAGCCAAGAGACACAAACAGATCCTTTCTGTCCCTGCGAGCCCCGTCTTCCTTAACCCTACACCCTGAACGCCAAAGGGCCTTAAGTCTTAAACCCTAAAAGGGCCCTGAAACTAAGCCTGAACCCCAAGTAACCTACTTTTTAAGGACTTATATAAAGAAATCATATTAGGGAGCCCAAAAATCTAGGTTCCTTAGGGTCCAGGTAAGCCTTAACCCCAAATCGCTCTCACTGCTTGGAGGGTCGGGGCCCCAATTAGGGTTCCTTCTAGGGTCCTTATAAGTCTACTTGCTACCTACTTACTAAGTCCCCCGACCCTCCAAGTGAGCTATCCTGCTCAGGACTGGCCAGAATGCCGAAATGGACGCGTCTGTTTCCATCCCTTCAAAGACCTGGTTTCCTACAAAAGGCTCGTTTCAGGGCTACTGGTTTAGGGTTTTGGGGTTTAGGGGTTTAGGGTTTAGGGGTTCAAGGCTTCGGAATTAAGGTTGAAGGCGTAAGCGATTTGGGTAGTTGAAGACCCAGCACAGTTTGCAGAGTTGCTACTTCCAGCAGAGGTTTCTGAATCCGAATGTTCTGCTCTTGTGATGTCAGTTCGTTCTCCTTAAGCTGTATGCATATAGTAGGCACACAACAAGAAAAGGGTTTTGGGTTGTGTTACAGTATACCTTTGTCCTCAAACCCTACTTGGAGGACAGTCTGCCATGTCCGAGGCGAGCTGCAGATGCGTCTAAAGACAGTAGGGCTAGGTTTGCAAGAAGGGTCGAACAAAAGCACCAAAACCGTAACGCCCAAAATTCAAAACCCTGCCACCTTCAAGACCCGAAACCCCAAAATCTAGAGCCCTAGAACTTACACTGCCTGCGACCACAGCATGCGGAGCGGCCCATGAGGTGCATGGCAAATGCCACTGCCAAGGGTTGGTCGGCCGGTGGCCAGATCATCGCCTGAGCCGGCAGGTTTCGCGTAGCATCGGTTTTAGACCAGAGGTTCGCGTGTCTGACATAGAATACTCAAAATGACGTCGGTTTCTGCGACAGTCTCAAGAGGCTTTTTTTAAGATGTTGTTTTTCGCGGAGTCTTCGACATTCTATGTCGGCAGAGGCGAATGCTTCCCTCCGAAGGCCTGTTTGGAACCTTGTGTCGGAGGCGCAGAGCAGCTGCCAAAGAGCGGCTGCATGTTTCACCCAGTCCTTGGCACGGCTCTTTTCGCGGCAATGCGCGCGCGCCTGTGCGGGGCAGGGGCATCGGTCGCAACAAAGGGGCATGTATGTCGCCGCTTGCAGTACCAGGTGTCCTTCAATCTGGTGTCTAGAACTGGCTAGCTAGAACAGCGGAAATTTTGATGTCAGCAATCACTCAGAACTGACTCGTGGTGATCTGATGTAGCAGAATCCACTGCTTGTTGGTGTTATCTCCATGTGCATGATAACTGACTAAACTTCGCTTGAAACAATCAACCAGGACCGTTCGAGCATAAAGCCTGCAAGTGCTGTGAAAGCTGAGACAGATATTCTGCTCTGTTTGGTACTCTCCATACATGTTCCCACAAAGAGGATGCCGCGTATCTGCGCGCACGGCATCATATGCCAGACCGACATGCAGCACATGCATGTTTCGTCCAACCGTCCTTCCCAACTTCTGAGAACCCGCGCTTGGTACCTAAACACTGAGCCCACGGCCCCAATCCCAAAGCCTCATGCAAGCCCTACGCAGGCAAATGCGAAGTCAGACAAAGCAATGAAGGCCGGGCATGGCCGTTTTGGGCTCATCGGGGTTGGGGTTTTAGGTGGTTAAGGTTTAGGGTTAAGGGCTTACGCATCACAACCCTGCGACATGACGACTATACGTTTGTTGCCACAGACTGCTAAGAACTACAACTACTCTTACTTCTGCTAGAGCTTTTGAAGACTGCCTGGGTGACCCAGAGCTCAAAGGCCTGCGCCAACCCTGTACTGGGTTATATGTAAGCCCAGAAGCTGACATTAGCGGTTTAGGGCTTTAGGGTTTTAGGGGTTTAGGGATTAGGGTTGTAGGGGTTTAGGGGTTTAGGGCTTAGGGTGCTTTCTGCTATGAACTGCCCCAGGACCGCGTCAATGAGAATCAGCAGATGAGGAGGCTACCCGGCCAGGGAGTCGTTTATCGTGCTCAGGACCTTGCTCCTTTTCCTACTTAAAGGATCATGGGACTTAGTAACTAGGGATATTATTGGGGTAACTATACTTATAATTACTTATAACCCCAAGAAGGGGACGGATAACTATAGTTACTAAGTCCCATGATCCTCCAAGTACCCAATCGAATGAGTGCACTGGCTGCGCCAAGGGTGTTTGATCTCGACCGAAACTCTGCCAGACCGCATTGGATGCAGGCGCTTAGAAAATGAGCTCCGGGAGACTTGCAATCAGTGGCTTGGTCCTGCACCTGAAATGCGTCCACCGTTTGTACTCCGACCACAATCAAGGGTTCGGGGCCATGGAACATCTAGTGCTACTGCTAGTCAGTAGCCCGTAGCTGCAAGTTTGCAAGCTGAACCTAGGAACCCGAAGTCTTATAGGGTTACCTTTTAGGGTTTAGGGTCCGGGAAATCCTCGGACGCAGACGACTCAGATGCTGACTTCGTCGAATTTCATCAAGATCTTTTCGATTCTGTGCTGTGGAACCTTCCTTGTGATCAGCTGTCATCAAAGCCTGCAAGCACAAAAGCCGAAAAAGTTATCAATACTGTTCCCTCCGGCTCCTTATTGTAATCGTATATTCCGAAATTATTAAACCTACGGCCCTAAACTAACGGGATCGGGCCTTACGATGTCCGACGCCACAATAGGAAGCATGGGTCAAGAGGGCTCAGGGCATTGGTATCCGAAACCTACCCCCAACATCTCCCAACCAGACCCTCAAACTCCAAATCCGAAAATCGGTGGCCTGGATCTTGAAATTTCCATACTGCTGGGATCACATGCGAAGCAAGACCTGGAAATCCATACTCATCACAGTAAAACAGTGTGAATTTCACAGTGCAGACACAGACAGTCGGAGAAAAGAACTGTAACGACCGGCAGCTAGCTAGAGTCGTGGTATATGAGCTCCGAGGATAAATCTTACGAAGAACACCATCCAGGACACAAAGTGCCGGGCCCGATTGGTGTAGGGTTTGGGGCTCAGGGTAGACTTCTTGGGCTTTTGGGCTCAAGCTCAGGTGTTGTGCAGGTGAGAGAATGCTGGGTTTCGAGTTCCCAGAGGCATTGAAGCTGTTTTCCCTTTGTAGAAACTTCAGCTCACAGTTTCGTTTGTTGATAGCTGCTCTGTCGATTGTGAGAACTCGAGGACCTTTCAAAGAAGATGCGAATTGATCAGAATCCTCACGTCGCAATGTCAGCAGGTTATGTTGCGTCTAAGCAACCACTGCTTAAGTACGCGTGTATGCATGAGTATGCATGACCCAATGCACACGCCGTTGTGTCTTTACTTGTATGCATGTGTGCAGCAACCTCGGAGAGGCAGGCAAGGTCATGCAAGCACGCGCGACATGTACATACATGGTACACTAACCCATAGATGATCTGAGGGATGGATGGATGGATGGATGGATGGATGGGTGGGTGGATGGATGGATGGATGGATGGATGCATGGATGCATGGATGCATGGATGCATGGATGCATGGATGCATGGATGCATGGATGCATGGATGCATGGATGCATGGATGCGTGGATGCGTGGATGCGTGGATGCGTGGATGCGTGGATGCGTGGATGCGTGGATGTATGTTTGGATGGATGCCTGCGCATTGCATGCGCAAATTGGGTTGTGTTGCACGTGCCTACACAGACGGAGGTGACGATGCATACATCTTTGTATACCTGTTTGAGCTGTAGAGATTTCAGATCTCGCACATATATTATATTGTATTATATGGTCTGCATACGTACGTGCATACACACACACCTATGTTTGGATGCTTCTCGGTGAGTGTGCGTGCGTCACACGTGCTGATGAAGCCACACTTGTTCTACTGCGCTGGTGTCATCAAGGCATCAGATCCGGTCTCTGGAAGAGCCCATGGAGATGTGCTCAACTTGTGCATCCTGGTCCCTCGGACTTGCTTTGCTTTGGTTTCGGGGTCACCCGAGAGTCTGACAGACTCTGTTTTCTGGAGCCCGCGCTGTAGTCCATGCTACGATTCTGATTTTGGTGCCGAGCAACCGAGTTGAAGACAGTGCAGCATCAGACAGTGAAAATCTTGAACTCCGCACCATTGAATGCAAAGTACAATGTCAAGGTGTTGCAGAATACTGGTACGGCCTCAAGAATCACTACCATGAGCAACCTGATTCCTGCGCTGCCAGGCGGAAGCAGCGTGCGACCAAGGACTCCAGGGGCTGTCGAGAGGTTTGCTCCTGGTGTGCATTACTATTGCCAGTACTATTACTCTTCTTATTAATCTTATTTCTATTAATATCACTATTATTACTGTTCTTATTAATCTTATTTCTATTAATATCACTATTATTTCTGTTGATCTTTTTATTGATGTGATTGTGGTGTCAGTGCATATCCGGACGCTGGTTTAGCTCCAGACCTTGGGTCTGAAGATTTGTCCTTATCTGATGTAGTCATAGTCATAGTAATAGCAATAGTAATAGTAATACTAATAGTAATACTAATAGTATGCTGATCAGCCCCCAAGCCTCAGCCCCTGAGCCCTAACATAGGGGCCTTAAATAACTGCCTATAATACTCTTCTATAGGTTCCCTACTATAACTGTAGTATAATGGGCCCCCAAACCCTATTCCAATCATTAAATCCGAGGCTGAGAACCCAGAGACCAATTAAGGAATAGACCTTAGATCATAGTAGGATCCCTAATACGATTTAAGGTATATTCCTCAAATTAGGGGATAATATTCCTCAAACTAAGGGATATTGGAGTCTCTGGGAAGGCCGAAGGGCTTTAGTCTTTTGGATTTTTCCTCGTGTTGAAATTTTCAAGATCCCAGGCCCAAGCGACGGTGTACCCGATGTGTTCGTTTGCCAGAGTTAAACTAGAGCGAACCACACAGACAGCAAAGAACACATACTTAATATGATGTCATACAAGGCTGTAGCTATAGCCCGTCATGGCTCGACTGCACAATTTTCAGGAGCTTACGGTGGTCAGACTAGTAGACAATGTAACCGCGCAGTCTTCTCCTTGTTCTGCCAGGTGCTCTTACCGTCGTAGCCCTGCAGCAAGTTTGATTGGCACCTTCGAGCATCGGGTTCCATAGCTCACACCATGCATGTTGTCTGCGTGTCTCATTCACGAATGCCCACAGCCACAGCAGCACGTCAGGTGCCCATGTTGGCGTTCGAAGCTTCTTAGAGCTAAGTTGCGGTTGCGATTTTTGCTTGCCAGCGGTTTAGCCGTGCCCGAACACTGATATTGCATCCGGTCTGTTCGGAGTCTTGTTTCAGCCTCCGATTACACGAGGAGCACATACTGGATCCTGTCACGACTACGCCCGGAGCCTAACCACTAAGTGGCGACACTCTGAGGACCAACGTGCGAACATTGTGCTTCGTGCTGCTACTGAATTCCAAGGCTGCAGGAGCACCAGATGACACTTCTTCGTTGTCACGAGGACAGATCAATCTAGAGGCTTCCTTTCGGTGTGCGTGCGCCATTGTTGCTACTTATGGTTTTGAATTCGGACCCTGCTAACTCGCATTGAAGTCCTGTCGGTCTGCTGGTCAGTGCCATTTCGGTTCTCGATGGGAAGCTGCTCGCCGAGCCCTACACTGTCTTTCCGGTTTGGGGCTTTAGGGTCTCATGGTGTGGATTTAGGGGTCAAGGCTTCCATTCTACCTGTTTCCGCCGTTGCTCCCCGCAAGTGCACAGCGACAGCCTTCAGCCCTCAAATCTCTTCCCAATCTTAAGCCCGAAACCTTTAACCCTCCCTCAGACCCCAAACCGGCAGGACCTGCGCCAGCATCATCAGAACGAGAAGAGCGTCTTGCAGGAGCTGAACGAGAAGAAGGCACCGAACCTGGCGTTTTTTGATCATGATCGGTGAAGGCTACTGCAGTATATGGGTACTATAATGCCTACTTACCTACTATGAGGGATAAATGGTACACTATGGTAATTTATGGTACTATACGGGCTGCCGTAAGGGTTTGCCACAAGGGCTCCGCGATGCTACAGGTTTGCTTGTTATATATATATATATATATATGTATACATACACGTATATACGGCTGTACGGAAAACATGTTTCTGCCATGCTCTTTGATCTCGTTGGCAAGGCTTCCTGCCAAGCTTGCCCTACAGGCTGAAACATTAAAAACCCAAACCCTAAACCCCTTTCGTCTTCGGACGGGAAAAAGGAGCGATTAAAAACAAAAGCCGAACCTAAACCCTAAACCCTGGACTTGCTTGGGGTTTACTGCTGTTCGCTGTTGGGCTGCTCCAGTTCTGGTCCCAAGGCTATGGGCTCACTTCTAGGTTTGTGGTGTCAGTGGTTGTTAAGTTGACACTCCACTACTCGAATGTACTACAATGACAATAATCTACGATACTGGTAGCTCTGCCCTTGGTCAAGTTTCAGTGATGTCAGGCCCGAGCAGTATTTTACTTGCTCATTGCTATGAAGTCCATCTCACACCTTGTTGTAGTCACTGGTAGCTACGTGTGCCACGTCGTGGCATCTGGGGTTCTTTGGAGCAGCGCTGTGGACTTAGAAGCGAGGTCCTTTCGTAGGCTCCAGACATTCTGCACAGTAACTTCACGTGCACGGGAGCACCAGTTGCACGCTGTTTGATGGTAAACTCCTTGCACTCCTCCAGTTTACTAGGCACGCTTTGCATGCTGCCATGACGTGTTCGGAGTCCTGTGCCCCCTTGCATCTAGACCTTTGTAAAGGCGGAGACAACGCAGGTGCCCATCCCCCTGCCGGGGGATGACCTTTCCCTCTCTCTCTCTCTCTCTCTCTCTCTCTCTCTCTCTCTTTCTCTCTCTCTCTCTCTCTCTCTCTCTCTCTCTCTCTCTATCTCTCTCTTTTGTGTGGCTCGTAAGGTTTAGCGTTTACGGTGTGAGCCTCGAAAGTGAAATATGTGCGCCTCTTTCTGCCCTGCCCTGCCATGGTTTAACCTCGTGGGAACTCAGAGCTCAGAGCGCTGTGCCAGGATCAGCTGAAGGAAGACTTGCGAGACAAGCTCGGGCCTCGGTCCCCCCTTTGTCCATTATTGTTGTTATTATTATTATTGTTATTATTATTGTCATTATTCTTATGATTATTATTGTTATTATTGTTATTATTCGTATTTGTATTTTAGGATTTAAATCGTTTTTTGCCATCATTGATATATAGAGATCTGTTTGTTTTGTATTTGTATTGCAGGGTCCTGGACCAGTAAAGAATGGCCACCTCCCAGTTGAAACCATCAGCCACGAGTGTTCAGGGATTTCGGCTTGTGGCGTGGCGGTACTGTGGATATTCCACGAATTAGCATCGCATGCTGATGATTTTGCTACTTTTGTTCGGATTGTGGTTTTGGGTATCACCGGAACTCGATTTGGGGATTCCCCAAAATTTGGGGCCTAATATAGTACCCTAATAGTAGGATCCTTATTATAAGGACCCCAAAATAAGGTGCCCTTTTTCGGAAACTCCCATTTGGGGGGATCCTAGCTTCTTGTGCCAGCGTTCGCTCTCACCGAGGACTTCCGCTTTGCATATCGACCTGAACTGCCTCACGCACGAGGCCAGCTCATGCTTTGGACCGCAGTGCAGAAATCTGCAGTCACGCCCTAGGGCTCTAGAGACTCGAGGCTCCAACATGACGAGTCGCCGCTGTTTTGGTGATTCGACCCGCCTAGCAGGTGGTTGCTTTCGGGAAAAAGGCCTTATAGGGGTCTTAATAATTAGAATAGGGTTTTGGGGCCCAACATACTAATCAGGAACCCCGGAAATAGTAATTATAGGTAATTATCGAGGCCCAATATACTATACAATTAGGAAACCCCAAAACTAGTAATTAGTATAGGTAGTTATTATCAAGGCCCAATAAAGTAAAAGCCAGAAAGTTGGAATATGATTATCCTAAACCCTTTATGGTAAATTATAAGGTATCCTACCCTGAAACCATATTCCAACTTTCTGAAGTTCCCTTTAGAGCATGCTTACACAAAGCTTTCGTCGGTAGCTGACCTCAGGAACAGGTCCGATGACTTTCTATTGAAACATGGCCAGAGTATTCATTTGGTTCTAATGGCAACAGGAGGGACCCTTAATAAGGACCCCTGGGTAGATACCCTTAAAAACGCTGTTAAAAACCATTAAACGGCCCATTATAGGGTAGGGGGAGTATTTTCATGAATGAGAGCAAAGCATTTTTGGAGTATTGTTATTGTTATCATACTGTTATAGTGTGACCTTTCAGCGGGGTCCTCGTTCCGGCTTAGTAGCTCCTGGTCCCATCCCACCGAGCCATCACATCGCAGGCCACCAGCCTCAATGGCAAGCCTAGCCCGGCCGAAGGACTCAGAAGTTGTGGCTTAGGGTTCAGTGTTCAGGGGTTTAGGGTTTCGGGGTTTTTGGGGTTTCGGGTTTAGGAATCCCGCTATTCTTCGCAGGGCTTCTGTGAATCTGGCGACATTATTTATTAATTTCGCAGGTCCATGATGGTTCTGCGAGAGGGAGGATTCTGGGGTGCTCATTTGGGTGGTTGTCAGAATAGGGATCCCTTTTTGGGTACCCTAAATATTAGGTGCCGTATTATTATATTAGGGACCCAAAAAACGACCCTAATTTTGACAACCACTCCTTTGTAGATCCACCAGACTGCTAGAGCCACGAGAGACTATAGTAGAACATAGTGTAGCAAAGCACATCACGGCTCAGATCGTGGATCGTGTTGATGTTCCTGGGTTGTTTCGTTTTGGGCTGCGACGCAGTTTTTGCGCGGATGGTGAGACCTTCCTCAAAACTCATGGCCTTACTACAGAAGCTTGAACCGTTACCAAGACTATTTCTTATGGTTCCTTGCTATAATATGCCCCCACAACCCTTTTCCAATTCTTCAAGCCCCCAAACTTCACGATTGGGCCTGCATGTTCACGGGATTAGTTTTCTCGAGTGCCCAGGCCATCAGCCGAAATCGGCTGCCGAAGGCTATGAAGGCACCCGAAGCGGGGGCTGGACTGAGGGATAATGTAGGGGCCTTAGTAATTAGAATAGGTTTTTGGGGTGTGTACCATACTATACTTTAACCACAAGAAGGAACCCCCAAAACCCTATTTTGACTATTAAGGCTCCTATGTTACTCAGCCCTGGCCTTCAGATTCGCGAGAGATCTTCGACTCTCCTTGGCTGAGCCCTGCTCCGTAAGCCTTATTGCTTTAGGGTTTAGGGTTTAGGCTTACATCCGAGTGGGCCCGACAACAGCTTTAAACTCCAAACCCCGGCCGAGCGTCTATGTCGCCACACACACTACGGGCATCAGCCCGTTAAAAGGAGCCCGCCCTTGAGGTGTACATCTTGGTCTCCCTGAAAGGGTCTCGGGGGGAACTCCCAGTGGGATCTGGGGCAAGCAGATTTCAAGGACCGCAAACTCGCCAAAAACACAATTCAGAGGGGGGCTCCCAGGGGAGACCCACCCTTGCTTCTCGTCCAGCGGCCGGCACAGGCGTTGAGGACCCAAAACCCGACACCAATCCACCTCAGCTGTGGTTTGCTGCGAAATGTGGTCGCTTTATGTACAACTGCGAACGGAAGCAGGGAGCAAGAAAGCCACCCTTCGTCGCCTTGGTTGGGGATTTTGCGGTGGGACTACATACATGCTGACGCAAAAGCGCGATAAGTGGGTGTGCTCCTATTCCTATTCCTAAAGCAGACGGCGCATGTACTGTGTGCACACCTTGAAACCTAAACCTCGAACCCTATAGCTGGGAGGTGGACCCCTCTTTCGTGCCCAACCCTGGGCACACGATGATGGTGCCTTGGCTGCCCGGTGGTTGAGGTTCCCAAATTCAGTAATGTTAGATTTGGGGTTTAGGGTTAATACAAATTACCCCACAACCTCTTGACGGGGGTTAAAGCTCCTGTAATAGACCCCTGCAATCCCTTGTCTACAAACCCTTGTAGAAACTGATGAACCCTCCTCAAGATTCGTTGACTTAATGGTCGGCTTAAACTTGATGTGTCTTTGGGCGCCGACTTGTCGAAATGCGGGGTTCTTGGATTCGGCCATGTCTTCAACATCGCATGACTCTCGCAACGCGAGAGAGAGAGAGGGATGTGTTGTCACGTCCCGCATGGCCTGGCGAAGAAGATGTGTTGTACATGTATGTGTGCATATATGCATGTATGTATTGCAATGCAACGTGTCCTGTAATGAGAAGATGTTTTTATGTCTGCATGTATGTAGTGACATACAGGTATGCAAATGGTATGGCATGGTATGGTAGGTATTCATGTATGTATGTATGTATGTATGTGGGATTATGTAGGTATGTATGCATGTTATGTGTCATGTGATGTGATGCAATGCAATGTATTGTAATGTAACGTATGTCTGCAGGCATGTGTGTCATTTGAGGTTTCTAGCTTCTGCGTCTATGCACTATGCAGCCATGTCGGTGTGTATGTGTGGATGGATGTCGGAATATATGGATGTACGGATGTATGGGTACGTGGATGTAAACATGTACGTATGTCTGTGATTATAATGTGGATGTGGATGTTTATGCATATGTGTATGTGTGTGTATGTGTGTACGCATATGTGTATGTGTATGTATACGTGAGCATATGCATGCATTGAATGTGTTTGTGCGTGAGTGTGTGCATGTGAATGTGTAAGTGTACGTGTGCATACCTGTTACTTGTAAAACATATACAAATACATATGCTCCTTTTACGTGTGTATCTGTATATAAACACATTAGTAGATTTATGTATGTGTGTATATGTATATATACGTATGTATGTATGTATGTATGTATGTATGTATGTATGTATGTATATACGTATGTATGT